CTATATCTCCAAACAAAAGTTAGAAGTACAACGTACTTATATAGTATAATGAGGGCACCTTAAAAAAATCCCAATTGATCATATTTACTTATTATGTACTGCTCACACGGTTTTTACGAGTCGGCCCACTCGTATATAGATATGCGCCCTCTCTCCATAGTGAATTTTTTAGATGAATTTGGAACTTAATTTTTTGGAATACACAATCTTTAACATGGGGAGTATTAGTATATAAAAAAATAAAATTGAAAATGACCATTTTTGAAGAATAAAATTAGTCCATTGATTTTGTTTTTATGAGGACTAAAACTTTTCCACATGCATCCTTGGGATGGATGTGTGATGTGTCGGGGACCCAAATGCATATATGAGGGCCCGCACAAAGCACTTGTTTTTTTTTTTGTTGAATATGATTTTGGAATCAAAACAAATACTAAAAAAAGAGGGTGTGGTTTGTATAGAGACGGGGCTCTAAACAATCAAAGTAAAACGCACCTTCAAATAGTGTCGAGGAATGTGGTTTCAATATTGGAAATCTTTGTGATAATCTTAAGATATATTATAATTTTTAATTATAAAATTTAAAGCTTAAAAAATAGTACAGATTGAACAAATCTATGAAAACTTGAAAATCTTGAAAACTGACTGTCCAAAAGCATGTTACAAGATGCACTATTTCCAAAACTTGAAATCCATTTTTTTCTCATGTCCATGAATCTTGATGCCGAGGCAATAAACTTGAGGATATTGGGGTATCAAAACAACTTATTTTAATTAAATTATTGAGTTAAGCTCTAATTTGATTGTTTAGAGCCTCGGCTCTATATAAACTAAAGAAACTTTTTTTTTTTTGTGTGGTAGCCTGTTTAGTTGTGGAGAGAGAGCTCATTTTGTTTATCGCTTTGGTAGTAGTAATTTGGTGTCAACAGCGAACTTTTGAGGGGTCATTGTCGGATGACTCGGTTCAAACCCCGGCAATAACTCTCCCCATATTTAGAACCGACTAAATTTTTTTTTTTTTGGCACTCATGGATAAGTTCATAATTATTTTGATATTTACAAAGGTTTAATATATACAATGTTCAAGCCTTTTTTTTTGTTTTGTTTTTTTTGTTTGTTTTTTCATATCACCCATGCAAATATCCAAACTATTTTTTTTATTCAGAGGAAATCTAGTTCAGGTGTATAATATCTAACAATTTGTTTTTTTTTTTTTTGGAATGAGCACTTTGGACATCCAATGTTCAAAGCCAAACAACACAAGAAAAATACAAGTAACGGGTTGGAATATAAAATTCCTGACAAGGTTTAAAATGGAGCCAAACATAACCCAACCTAAGTCATTTGGACATGTAGTCTTTGATGTTCTAGAAAAATAGACCATACAACAGCTCTCTTGGCCCTTGGAAATAACCGAATGAGCCCAATGAGTTTCTGCTAGTGATGAGGCAGATGGCGCTTCATGCAACATCTACTGCATAATCTCAATAAAAACATTGTCCAATATTTGGGTCCAAACCTAAACCCATATCAAGTCAACTCATCAAGTTGGTGGGTCGCACCTAGCCAATTGCTACTTCTATGTTAAAACATCCAATTCATTTTCAAATTTACATTTCCCACATGTAGCTCCTCAATTTGTTTAGAATGCCAATATTTCTTTTGATGGAACCCTAAGTATGCACGGGAATCTTACATAGGATACACCAACCAAATTGATAATTTTTTATCCCCTTATGACTTTTGTTAAAAAAATTGACTCGATGAATGACAACTTTCCAAGTATTTAATATGGGGAAAATTATAGACACCCCTTGATCATACTTTGTAGGACGAAAATGTCCCCAATGCATAATCCACATTCATTCCCATCCCTTCACTTTATCTCAAGGCTTTCAAATTTTTAGAGAGTTTTTCTCTATCTATAAACTTGAAATTTGAGAGAACTTGGCATTTGAGATAATTTATCTCTAAAATTTAAAATGCGATATTTTCTCTCTTTAAAAAAATTGAGATAATTTAGGTCTCTAAAATTTTGAATTATAAGTTTTTAGATATAATAATTACCTTAATAATATGGGAATATTTTCATCGTAAAAAGTTATTTTTTTACTTTTGAGAGGTAGACATAAAAGTAAAAGTATTCGGATTAGTGATGTGGTAAATAAAATATTGAGAAGTACCTAAGGTCATGGGGGGTATTCATCAAAGATTTAAAAAAATCCGAGTCAGCACAAAATCATCGAGTCCGATAATCGGTCACCCTGTTCCAATTCTACTTATATATAGAAAAATGGTCGAGTCTGTAAGGGAACCGACAGTTCTGCACAGTAAAACAACTATTGTTTATAATAAATGGATATTCGGACTGCTGATTCATTGATTTGGATCGGTTTTTAGCCATTTCACTATTTTTTCACATGTTTTTTGCTGTTTCACTATTTTTTCTATAAAGTAAAATGACAATCCCGACTGTCGATTCACTGATCCAAACCGGTTTTTTGGGTTCCCAATCATGTTCACAGATGCGTTTTTAAAAATCACTAGTATTTATAATTTTTCATTACCTTGGGTATTGATTCTAGGAGCAATGGGTGACTCATGGGCTGAGGGGCACCGTCCCTTGGGCCACAATACACCAATAGGAAACCGTGTAACATGGGAGCACGTGCCTACAAAATGTTTTTGAAACGTACCCGTTTGGAAATGCATTTAACAAGTCGATAAATACAATTGAGAGGTCAAAAAACGAGCACACCCCCAAGGTTTTCAGCAAGAATCCCGCCTCTCATTAAATAATCATATTTTGGTTTTTGTTAATTTAATGCACGCATGCAACATAGTTTTTTCACCATCCCACAATATAAAATACTAGTAGAAAATTAAACCATGTGCACCTTCTTACAAGGTGACATAAGATGGTACTGCATTGGCTTTTCAGTTTTTGGAAAAGGTTAAAATGAGGCCTAGGTTTTATGGCAGAAAGTAAAGTCTCAGATCAAAACTCATTCAATTGTAGTTTCGGTGTTCGAAAATCTCCAATTCGACCTTGATTATTATCGTTGTGAAAAAAAAATAGTACTTCAGGCCCTGAATATAGTGTGACACATCATCTAGACGATTTGTTTTTAGGTGTTTAATGGTCTATAATATCTATGGGTGGTGAAAATAGATTTTAGAGACATTGTAAGTATTTTCCATGCCCCAAGTGATTTTCGAATGGAGTTTTGAAGTGAAGCTCTTACTATTTTTCATTAGGCCTAGGCCTTATAGAAGCTGCCATTGGGTTTTTATGTTCTTTAGATACCTTGAGAGCTTGTAAATTGATATTTACAATGGAATATACATTTCAGTGGGAGTGTGTGTTGACTGAGTAAGGGCTAGGCAGTTTATGACCCTGAACATGTCCAAAGTCCTTAGCTTTAGGCATGTGGCACTACCAAAAAGGGTTTGCAGTAGATTATCCTTCGTTGAAGTAGGATATCATATTTGTAGGCTAGGTCTCCCATGTGCGGTTGTAGGCTAGTGAAAGCAAGAGCCAAAGATTCAATAAATTTCCACACAACATGTACACATGACATCCATATTAATGAGAAACTGCCATAAAGAGGGAACTAAAATTCATATCCTAGGATCATGAAAATTGTAGCTATATGGTACTCAAGGTATTAAATTCAATTTCTTTATGTTCGCTCTTTTTCTATGAAAATATAACAAAAAAAAAAAGCATATGAGATTAATATGAGGTAATATTATGAAAGGAAAATAATTATATATGGCTATTGCTTTATTAAAAAACCAAGGTTGCATCTCTAGAACTTGTTGAAAAATATGTTTCGGAGTCGATTGCTCTGGAGTTGGAGAACCTTCAAATTGATCATCTTGACCTTGAGAATTAGTGCTCTTGTTGTATATTATCTAAATAATTTATTTGTGAGTGTTGATAGAGATATGCACCAATTCCAAAACTTTAAATTTTGTAATTAAGAATAAAAATAGAGTTTCAAACCATTACAATAAGAATTTCCGATGATGACAATAATTTTTGTTGTATTTAGATAAACGTCACCCTGATCCGGATCTAATAAATTTAATATAAGTATATACCCAAAGTAATGATAAATTAGCCAAGAAGAATTTTGCTTTTAAAAGAGCAAATGATAACAATTGGGTAATCAATTATAAAAAAGAATAATAGTCAACGAAATCTAACGTCAGTTAAGAGAGAGATTAAATACGTAAATATTAGGCACAAAAATCTCACATTGATAGCAATAGAAATGAATAAAAAAAAAAAAATTGTTTCGCTGGATCGTATTTTAACATATGCCGTCAAGAGGTACGGAGCATCTATCTTAAAGCTGGATACAAATAGGGGTCTATCTCAAAACTAAAATTATTATTTCTAATTTAAAAATTTATTTATTTATTTTGCATGACCTTAAAATTGTCCAAAATTCCATCTCAAAAATTGATTTTTGAGAAGCGCCTCGTTTCTACAAGGACTCGTGGAAACCAGGTCCTAAAAAAAATGCAAATAAAAGGAACTGCATTTGAGTGCATGGAATAATCAATGGCTTGGTTATCAATTATTAATTAATTAATTAATTATCAAGAGGTAAAATGGGGAGCGAAAAAAGGGGGGCCATTGCTTTTGCGGAGAGCCGTGGGATTGCGATTGTACAACGCTTGGCCATGCGGCGCGGCGGTCCCCGGTTGCAATGAGAGAGAAAGAGAGAGGATGAGAGAGAAAGTGTCTGCGAGGAGTGAGAAAGAGAGAGGTGATGAGAGAGAAAGTGTCGGAGAGGAGTGAGAAAGAGAGAGGTGATGAGAGAGAAAATGTATGAGAGGAGAGAGAGTATGTCCAAGTGACAAAATGGTGGGAGTAGGTACGTGTTAGCCACCCCTTTTACTCTCTCTCTCTCCACCTTTTGTGCCTGATACCCGTTTTCATTTTCTCTCTCTAGATTTATACAACTCTCTCTCCTCTGTTTTTTCTTGTTGAAGCCTCTCTCTCCTGTGTTTTTTCCTTGTTGAAGCCTCTCTCTCTCTAAGGACCTCCTGTTTGTCCAAGCACTGTTTCAACTCACGACCCATCACTTTCTCTCTCCACCCTCACGACCCAGCCTCTTTCTCTCTCCTCATCGTCTCTCCAGCCGCCTCTCTCCTTTACTCTTTTTCCCTCTCTAAAACTCTCTCTCCATGTGCATTGAGTGAAAGGTACTGTAGGCTGCTTTTTGTACCGTCTCACTGCTATTGCCTTTGTACTCTACAAGCCGTGATCATGAAGGGGCGCCACCACTGGAACAGGAAGACTGAGTTTTAGTTTCCAGTTTGGTAGAGAGAGGTTTTAGAGAGAGGGTGTTGCTTTTTGTAGAAGACGGTTATGATATGTGTGCATTAGGTGGTGCAGGCGCGCTCTATTTAATGGAACCATCACGTGAGTCGTAGGCTGGCTTCTTTACGGGAGGACAACCCCGCTTTATCACCAGGACCTCCATTTTTTTTCTTGTTTCTCTCTCTTCTCTTTCTCTCTCTACTGGTTCGTGTGGTGGGTTTATGAAGGATGACTGCAGAAAAGAAGGGAGTGGGGCAAACTGTGGTTGTTGGGGTGAAGTTGGATTCACATAGCAGAGAATTGCTCACTTGGGCTCTCGTCAAAGTTGCAGAACCAGGTGATCGTGTTGTTGCTCTTCATGTTCTTAAGAATTCAGGTACCGTTTCCCAACTCTTTCTCTCTTTATCCCATTTCTGTCTCTCATACCCATTTTCTCTTTCCCCATTTTTTACTCAAATTCTCTATCTCTGGCCCTTTTTCTCTCTCTGTCTTACCCATGTCCTCTCTCTCACTCTGAATTTCTATCTGGATCTTTCTCTCTCTTTTTCGCACCCATTTTCTCCCTCTGTCTCTCTCTCTCTCACACAAAGCAACTACTTCACTGCTCTGCTCTTCGCAGTACTTTTTTCTCTCCATTGCACTGTAATTTTTATGGAACTGTTCTCTCCCTCTCTGTGTCTGAATTTCTCTCTCGCTCTCTCTCTCTCTCTCTCTCTCTCTTTCTCTCGTTCTCACTCTCTCTCTCTCTCTCTCTCTCTCTCTCTCTCTCTCTCTCTCTCCTCTCTCTCTCTCTCTCT